CGCGGACCTTCTCAGTCTAAGTCCTCCAGTAGAGAGGTTAGAATAAGTTGGTACCATTTTTTTCTGTAGTCTATTTTAGTAGGGGAACCCTCCCCCAAAGAAGGGTAAAAGGGCACTACTGGGGGACCTAGCAGTGATTCCCCCGGCGCATGCTTGCGACATCGCCCCACCTTGAAACAGAGAAGCTATGGCTCGTTGGTAGCACCAGGTAGATAATTCCAGAGTTTCTGAGGCGGTGCAGGAATTTGTCTGTCCGCAGTATTTCGCTTTCCTGGGGTCTACGCAACAAAGACCAACTTCTGAAGTTGCTACAACACGCCTTTTCCCATCTGCGCCTGTGCCGTTGCAAGTGTCTGAAATTGGCGTCGCCCTCTTGAATGGTGCTTCGCAAACGCTTAGGGACACCCCGAACTTCAACACTTGTGTTGAAGGCCCGAACAGCAGTCGGGAGCCTTTGGGTTCAAGAAAATCCAACAGGAACCTGTCGCTAAACTTGTGACCCACCATGTCGCAACCCTTCGGTGGGTGCATGAAATATCAAGAGGAAACTAAGGGAACCTTTGTAACTGGGCTTAAATCAATACAACCAAAGGAAACTTGTGACTGGCTGAAACCAATACAACCGCAATAGACTGTCACCCCACACAAAATATTAAGGAGAGTCCCTGAACAAAAACAAACCTGACATGGTGTAGGTTCCAGGTTAGTCTGCAGAGTGGAAAACACACCAAAAAACAAACAACCCAGGATGCTAAACTGGATTGGAACCGACCACGGGTTTCTGGTTGCGGTTGAAAACCTAGATCAACGGTCATCTAACCTAGGATGTTCCGCTTTCTCCCGCATCATTGCACCCATGGGGGGATTGAACTCCAGGGTTTGGACCGGAAACAAACGTTGGCCGGCAGCTTGGTGCGGCTAACATGGGAATCGGAACCGCCTCCCTTTCAAACAACCTCAACACCCATTAAACCATCCGAAACATATCTACATATATATATATAAGGATGTATGTATGATGCGTGGTCAAAATTACATGCTTCACGGGAACATGAGCGTCTGGACTTGGACCGAACCTCCTATAACAGGGATCCTTACATTATACACCTGAACATTGCCTTGTAAATGGTGGTGTCGCTGTATTTTGGTGGAAAAAGCCGTGTTTCAACATGTATCTTTTAAGGAGCCCTGTCTAAGGTGATATCTAAACCAAGCAAAACAAAAACAAAGCCTGAGCTTCTCTGGTCCTCAGACAGTAATAGATGGTCCGGGACAAATCGCTGCGTGTAAGGAATACCCCCCCTCAGTGCACATGAATCCCCCACCTAAATGATGCCCACCAAATGGTCCCCAATTAAAAACTCACACCCATGTATATGTATTGTTTTACATATATATATATATGTATATATATGTTCATGCACACTGGTTTGAGGGGGCCTTTTCTCTATATTTGTCTATGGCCATGGGTTTAAATCCCGTACCCCCAGTGAACATCCCAATCCCCACTAAACTAAAACCTGCGCAACCCCTCCGGTTTAATCTTGAGCCACACCCAAATATATAGAGAGTACGTCCCTCTCATAACACGGTGCATGAAATATATATATATATATATATGGCTGTGGTTGTCAAAACCGTTTTGGAATCCCATTTTGGGGTAGGCGAATTCACCACCCATGTTAGAACCTATTCCATGTTTCCACTTACCAGGGTTCCATGTCGATACCGTTTTTTTTTTTTGACCCACCGCCATTTATCTCTACACATACCTCCAAACGCCAGCGACTTGTTGTGCCTCCATGAAGCTATCGTACTCCTTCACGGCTGCAGCCTCGGCGAACCAGACTCAGTGAGAGATTCCCGAAGTGGCCCGGAGGTTCCTTGGTTGCTGCAACGACCCCCCCGCAACATGTTTTTTGACTTTTGGGGGGGCTTAGTGGAAAACACCATTTTTTTTCAGCCAAAAAGTGAAAGTCTAAAGATCCAACCCAGCAGTCAAGGTTCCATGTCCCTGCCTTTTGTAGGCAAACAAGAGAACCACCTTTCAAACTTTATAGCAGGGGGGTCTTTTTGCCACCTTTCGTGAGAAAACTTGCGACCCCTAAGGAATCCTAAACGAGGGGTTCGAACAACTTGCCAAAAGGTGGCAAAAAGACCCCCCTGACTCCAAAAGGAAAGTGGTTGGTTTTTTGAAATAGGGGCGAAATACCGTGGGTTGATGGAGCAAATCGGTTTCTTTCCCAGAGGCTCAAAACCGGCGGTTAAATCGGGCCCCTTCGATACGTATCGAATTGGAGCCTCTGGGGCCCCGAAAACATCGCCACTTGAGGTTCCGAAAAGAAGGAAAGCCTGACTTCGGTCTGGAAGATATTGGTTGGAGGTCAAGTATTTGGATGCAAGTCGACAGATTTATGCATCCAAGCATCACTTCTAATCCTTAGGTGGTCAAGTCAAAATCTTTGAAGTCAGCCAGGTTGACAGACCGAAAAAAAAAACAAAAAAAGGCTTTCCAATATTAATCAACAAGGTCGCTTAGAGTCAAAGATGATGCCTTTCAGACGAATACCGAACAGGTCACTTTGTGCAAACACTGAGGCAACCTCGGGAAAACAGGAAGCCCACTAGTTCGACTTTGCACCAACCCTCTGGGCCCTACTTCCACCGAAGTCTCTTTGTGCGGGTAAGAAAAGGGGATTGGGATTGCTAAACCAAAATGAGTTGGAATTGCGCTCTCCCCTTTCACCCGTCCCTACTAAAGGGCGCCCGGCCCGTATTGATCGCACCGCATGTTTAGGGTATTGATCGCACCTTTAAAAATGGGGTCATTACCCAAAAGAAACGGGTCATGACCTCATTTTTCAAGGGTCATGGAGAGTCTAAGCTGGACCCCCCCCCCATGGATCACCAATTTCTCAATACGGCGGCGTCCCTTGGTATTGGCAGGGATCAAACACTCTTGGAGCGGAACACCCCATATTAAGAAGCAAGAGGTTCTGGGTTCGGGGTCAGCATATGAAAAAACAAGTTGAGGGACCCTTATATCTATTACGTCCTCCAGTAGAGTCTCTACTGGAGGTTAGAATAAGGGTACCAACTTTCTTCTGTAGTCTATTTTAGCAGGGAACCCCTCCCCCAAAAACGGGGCACTTGGCTGGGGGACCTAGGTGTCTAGTCTACAAAACAAGGTTTCAACCGACCAAAAACTGCTACAAAAGGTAGAAGGGCCCTAGTGGGGGACCCTTATATCTAGTCTACCAAGAAAAGGTTTCAACCGACAAAAACATCCCACGCTACCTCGTTGGCTCCGACAGGCGTCCCTGCCTCGCCGGCCGTGGTCTCCGCCTCCATGCGGGAGAAGTCCGCCTCAATGACCTGAAGACGAGCGCGCTTTTTACATTGGGAGAGCCGTTCCCCAGATGAACCCCGTACCTGGCGTCTCCTTCTCACCCTTTAGACATGGTTGGTCATTACCCCCCAAAAAAAGGGACTGGCGCCATGACCCTTTAAAAATGGTTGGTCATTACCCAAAAAAATGGGAACAGCAACAAGTGGTACGGTGGATTTTCCTTGTGCATCCATTTATTCCATTCGGTTCAGACCCCGAAAAAGACACACCCATATAAAACCATATGGTAGGGAAGCAGCAGGGGTGCATTTGGGTAGCTTTCTAGGGGTTGATTCCAACCATTCTTTTCAACCATCGTTCTTTCAAAAACCGATCGCTGTTTCCCTGGGTTTTTAAGATTGCTTCCTGAAAAAGATTCGAATCCCTGGAAAGAATGGAAATGGAAGGTACCCCTAGAAACATTGGGAGATCCGTTCCCAAGATTAACCTCATAATGTTGACCCCGGACTAATAAACCCGTCCCATTATTAGCCAAAAGTGATGAATCCCCACTAAAAGGGGACACCCCCCTATTCATCAACCAGGGGATTATTAATATGGGGTCAACATTAACCAACCTGGTTTTGTACTTGCCACCCTTGACAAAAAAGGAACATAGCTGGCTACCTACCATCCACCATCAATCCACCAGCCAGCCAGCAAGCCATCCATCCGTCCGTCCGTCCATCCACCGTCCATCCATCCATCCGTCCGTCCATCCATCCATCCATCCATCCACCCGTCCGTCCATCCATCCATCCATCCACCCATCCACCCATCCATCAACCCCCCATCCATCCAGCCATCCATCTAGCCATCCACCATCCGTCGCGCACGGCTCGGTTTGTCCTAAAAGACTTTCCCTGGCACGCAAGGCCGGTGTGCTGAGCGTGAAAATAGGTTATAGCCAGGGCTGTGGGGAATGACCACTTCTGTGATACAACAGAAAGGGCTTCCCAAAGGCTATTTTGTTCATATAAAAGGGGATTCCCTTGTATCACAGAAGTGGTTGGTGAAACCCCTTGATCCCACAACCCTGGTAACCGTCCCCAGAAACCGAAGCCGCATCTATTTGAGGCCTTTGCGACACTTACCAGGGGCTCGTAGGACTCCTATGGCTGTAACTTGGGTAAGAACCACAGTCAAACCCATACACGCTAAGCCAGGAAAGATGAACAGTGCAGACCCAGTGCTTCCAGGCAAGCCACTCAAGTAGGTAAATGCTGTAAACGTTACCATGGTGGTAACTGGAAGCACTGGCCCATAGGGTCCAAGTACCTTCTAAGGAGGTCGACCCCTTTTTACCCCCCAAAAGCCATTCTCATGAGGCACTGGACCCCAATTCAAACCAACATTAAAACACTCGAGCTCAACAAAGGTTCCGAAACACAAAGTGACGGTTCAGCTTGGCTTCAAGTACCCGGAGTGTCCGAATCTGACGCAAATTAAACATGGGTGGTCAGACAACCCAAAAGAAAGGGGTCATGGCTGGCCCCAATTTTGATTCGGGTCAGAAGGAGGAGGTCCGAGGTCCTCACCCTAGGAGCCCAAGATCTCATTCTTTGGCAGCAATTAGTCTTTTGATGCGTTCCCCCCCCCAACATGCCTTTTTCCGTCCAGGCAAGCATATTCACGCGCATCAATGGGCGGGGCTCATGGAGTCGTGAGTACCACTCGAACGCCGGAGCCCGAAAAAGGTGAGTTTTGCCAAACGTAAACAACGAGGCCTAGACCGAAAAGAGCCAGATACTGAAAGAACACACCAGCGAGCCAAACGAGCTGGAACGCAACCCCTTGCCACAGGACAACTAAAATCACTGCCAGAATGGATGATGCGGGGACCAGCGAGTAAGCAGCCACACAGGGGGTCTTGAAACTGCAACCTGGATCACAGCGGCAAATTAAAGTGAACGCCAAGGAAAACAGAAGGAGTAGCAAATACGTCTGCCAATAAAACTCGATCCATCGACCAGCTTCAGAGTTATCCCACAGGATGCGGAAGTTGCTGCCGGCCACCCAGGTGGCATAAGAAAACACCCACATCCACAATCGTGAAGCACGAGCTTGGCTCAACGGAGATGCCTCATCACGCCAGCGCTTGATGACTTGTAGGAAATAGCCGCTCAGAACAAACCATATTGCACCCAATGAGAGAGTGACACAAGCGCCCACAGCATCCAAATTGAAGTGTAATTCGCTGAAGACCTGAAAAAGGGTTGATATCGGCGTGCGGAGCCTAAATGCAATGAACTCGATCTTTTCCCAGTTCCGAACTAGCTGGTTCACAATGCGAACGGAACAAGCAGGTGTTTGCTGGATTTCCGGGATCTCACTGTGCGAAAAGGCTGCCCAAAAGAAGGAGGTCATCGAGAGCAAGAAGGTCACTCGCGTGCTGAAGCGTATATGAATGCACCCTTGGGCCGCTGCGAAACGCACTATCAAATCAAGAATGGTCGTGCCCAAATACAAGCATGGAGTCCAGTACACTTGACACAAAACCCTGTCCTGGAAGGACAAATGCCGAAAGGCTTCAGAATGCGCGCTGGCTCTTCCAAGTAAAGTTGGTGGCAACTGTGGATGGCTGGTGAGACTTGTATGGGAGTCAACGCGATGCTTAGCCATAGCTGCCTTCACCATTCCAGTCACATCAGTCAACTTCAAATCTTGCTCAGAGAAGCACCTACACAAAGCTTCTGCAAACTCCATGTTGTCGAAGCGAAGCTCCCCCGACAAGCAAGAAAACAAGCATACGTAGTCTGTCTTCATAGGCTTCAAAAAAGCAAGCAGTTTTTCCGTCTCAAATGCCAGCGGTTCTTCTGGGTAAAATGGCTCATGCAAGCGGCATGCATCCCAAGCCGCGAAAAGGATACAGCCCTTCTCAAGTTTCAGGCGAAGATCTTGCAAGCAAAGGGAAGGTCCTTTGGAGACTGGGACCATAAAATGCCTGCTCTCCATTTCAAAGCCATGTCCTGCAAAGTACAGAAAGAGCCTCTGGTTTGCAGTTGGCCTTCGAACAAACTCGTTGCAGGCGTCCTTCAGCGCTTCCGAATCTGGATTGTGAACAAACTGGATGGGTTTTGTGTGTGGCAAGAATCTCCGAACCTCCTCCCTCACAAGCTCGGCGCACCTGTAGCAATATTCCAACGGCGCCTCTTGGTAAGCGTCGCAGCATATGATGAGAACGCGCCATTCCCCTGCCCCCAACTGCAGCATCCTCAAAGAAACTCACTTCTAAAGCTTGAGCCTATGGTATGGATGCTTCCATGTCTGCACTCCCATCCAAGCTTCACATTTCGGTACTTCTCAAATGGAGGTAACAAGAGTCCCTTGGTTTCAAAGGTTGGCAAAAATCGCTCAACCCTGGTAAGCCACTTACAACCACGGCTTTGGTGGGCTCTAGTCCGAATTGCCAACCTCTTGGCTGTTTTTTTCCAGACCATCTAAGTAGCTCAGAACTGAAGACACGCAAACGTGCGTTTTGCATATACGTATTTGCTCTGACAAATGCGCAGAAGTATATTTTTACATATGCACTGATCCACACCATTCCCCAACAAAATGGGGCACATGAGTGAGCCTTCTGGTTTATGTGGACGATTGAGATGTGTGAGCCCACCCTTGGTGCCTCACTGCCTAAGCTTGGGAAAGCAACTCCTCAAATCAGGCCTTTGGATATTGGTGCTTGATCTTCCACAAACGTTCTTTTACACCATTTGTTTTCACCATGTCTGCTTCATGTCCAAGTTCCAGGAACCCAATCACTTCAAATCCGGAGAAACCTCCCAAATTCGTCTGGAAACAATGGGTATGAGTTCTCTCCTGGGTGGACGGCATTTAGGTGCAGACAGAAAGATAAAGAGAGAAAGAGAAAGGGAAAGAGAAAGATAAATGTGAAGAGAAAGATGAAGAGAAAGAGGAAGAGGAGGAGGAAGAGGAGGAGAAGAGAAAAAGAAAGATAATGAGAGAAAAACAAAGATAATGAGAGGAAAAAACAGAGAAAGAGAGAACAAACAAAAGGAACAAGAAAAAGGAAAAAAAAACAGAACACTAAACATAATTATGGATCTTATAGTTTTAGGAAACTTCTCCGCCAGCTCTATGTTATCCATTCTCGTACTGTTTGTGTTTAAATACTTTGGTGAACCCCCACCAAAACACAGCAAAATCAAAAACAATATCAATGAGTAACACATACTTACCCCTTAAAACTCCAAGCCCTGGGGAAGTTAATCTTTTACAAACATATAGCCCATGGTACCCAAAAAGTTGAAAAGTTGTGTTTTTTAAGAGGTAAGATAACACATAATAGCAACGCATTCTACCGGTTTCCGTCTCACACATCCCCAAAAGGGGCACCAAATCTCGGACTTTGCCAGGCCAGGAACCTCAAGGCCTCTTCCATTTGCTTTTTCGGCCCCGAGCAAATCTTTCCAGTAGTGATGAATTCCTTTTAAATCCAACAAAGTAACAAGGGGGGAAAAAAACATATTCCTAAGCAAATGAACAAACAACAAATAAATAATAATAATAACAATAATAATAACAATAATAATAATAAACATATTCATTCCTAAGCAAATGGAGGGTCTGCTTGTTCTTGCAGCTTTTCGGGCGAGGACGCCGTATTTTTGTCGGGTCCAGCGGCCAAGCGCGTCTGCACCAATGGCATTTGAGGGGGCCCTGCGGTGACTGCACCCCAAGGCAGTGTAAACTTGGTTGACGTTGGAAGGGGAGCAAAATATCAGTTTTAGCAGTTAAGTGGGAATTTCCCACTAAACCACAACAAGCAAAAATGCAAAATGCTTCCCAACAACAACCGTGTAAAGGTAGACATGTTTCACCGTGCCTGCTCTTTGCCTTGTGCCTGCATTTGCCACAGCATTTTACCGTGATGTGAGACCACCATGTGACCAAGGATTCATCTGGAGGCTCATACTCAGGTGGAGAAAGCCCCTTTTCGTCGTTGCAATGTCTTCAGTTGAGGTTGACTCCTCGTCCGAACTCATCTGAACCCAACATTACGGGTAGATATGGCATTGAGGTTGGGAGCCTTAAGTTCAAAAGCTCCACGCTTGTTTTTGTCTTTTTGGGCCAAAAAGACCCTTTCAGTACAAACATTCTCGCAAAAAATGCGAAAGCCAAAGAGCAAGTGACCGGAAATAAGTGAAGCAAGGGGTCGTCCAGCGGCCTGTCAAGACGAGCTTCCAGACGCGTTGCGAATCTTCGGACGAGATGTCCGTGGAGAAATTGGCACGTTACTCTGTTTGGTAGTTGATTTTGATCTAGGGGAAGCTTCCAACCCTTCCTTCCAGGAATCCGAATCTTTTCAGCAGACCATCTTAAAAACCCACGGTCCCCAAACAGCGATCGTTCTTCGGGAAAGAACGATGGCTCCTCAAACACTGGAACAGCAACCAACGCCTCGGTTTCAATTAGTACACCCCTACCAAAAGATTGGGAAAAAAGGAAGAACACCAGTTTTCATGTTTGTGCGTCCAAACGGGCTTAAAATTTCGGACAACCCCCCGGATAAACTACTGCACTTCGGACTGGGCTTTGGTCACCAAAATTATGCGAGTTCCCGCCTCCAACATGGACACCACTCCGCCCTTCGCGCTGGTCATGCCTGGAAACCGAGGCGCCGAGGGACCGAAGATTCTGCAAAGGGCCTGGTTTCAAAACTGCCTAGACTCTCCATGACCCTTGAAAAATTGGGTCATGACCCCATGATTTTGGGTAATGACCAACCATTTTTTAAGGGTCATGGAGACTCTAGGTGGTTGTTGTTCCAAATGAAATGTTGACGAATCCGATGTTTTTCACAAGTAATCTACCTGGAGTCTCCATGACCCTTTACAAAATGGGGTCATTACCCCCACAAAAGGGGTTCAAGGGTCATGAGATGTTTTCCACTACCAAAGCCACTACCTCGTTTTGAGGGAAACGTGGGATGAACGAAAAACATATATTCAAACACTATATGCAGTCTAGGGGAAGTGCACACCCTCTAAGAATGATCCACAATTCAAAGTTGTACCACCAAACTCCTGGAATATACCCCTGAAGAACAAGACAAAACCAAGCGCTGTCAGACTTCTTTGGGATTTCTGAGCTGTCCAAACAGATCCCCAACTAGGAAACCCCAACCACTAAACCAACTAAAATCCACTGAAAACACACCTCAGGAACCGGACGATTTGCAACCGCTAAGCCCCGGCGGCACCGAAGGCAGAGATTGAACACACAGGAAACCCTCCTTGACAGACCCGAACAGCCACACCAAGGTGGACCGTGCGGAAAACTGGGCTGTCCGTTTTCAGATCCCCTGCTAAAATGGAAACTACCTCTAAAGATTGGGTTAAATCCTGCGAAATGTAAACTACCTCCACAATCCCCCGTCTAACTTTGGTTTAAATGGAAACTACCTCTACACATTGACAGGGCTGTCCTCAAATCCCCTAGCCTGGGCCAGGAACCAAGATTAAAGCCCACTTAACACGGTTGTAAGTTCCCTAAGCAGGTCGTAAGTAGTGTCACTAACAAATTAGGTGTTTGACCATCTCATCTAAGCTGTGATGAGGCTGAGTTAGTCTGAGTAGGCTCCTCCCAACAATCACGGAAGTGGACAAAGGAAGACTGTCCTCTTGAAAAGGTCTCTTGGCGAGTTCCATGATTGTCGCAAAAGGGCATGGCTTATCGTTTTAAGCCATAATTTACGAGCGACCCCCGATGGGGGACCCCTAGTACGGTTTAACAACCCACAACACATGTCAATCTGTAGACCCTTTGGGGTAATACGATAAAGTCTGGAAGGACATCAACACAAACTAAATCAATTGGGTCCGAAGCTTGGAATCCAACGATGCGTTGCAGTCCATAAATTAATTCCTCTGATCAAAGGGACTTGGACCTCCAATAAGACTTTGGCCCGTGACTAACAGTAAACAATCGGAAAACCAGAAAACAAAGGGTCGATTCGCTTTGGGCAAGTGAGTGAATCAAGGATCCTTATAATATGTCCCTGTGTCACTAACCACTATTGGGAACCAAAAGCTGATGTGTGCAACCGCACTTTCAATGAGTTTGGGGTTACCGAATCATTGGTTTCCCTTTGGCTTCCCAAAACCGACCAACGAACTTATTTCTTCTACTTAGGGCTTCCTTTCGGTTTCCACCGAAAGGCTGGTTGCGTAGGCCAACCCATGGCCATGTTGCAACCTTCGGCGCTTGATTTCGCATCAAGATATAAGTAAGTAGACTCTCAATGACCCTTCAAAAACGGGGTCATTCAAGTCATGACCCCTTTCTTTTGGGTAATGCTCCCATTTTTAAAGGGTCATGGAGAGTCTAGGTAACAGTCAATTAACCCACCAACCAGCAGTTCATATCAGAGGTTCATTTCTGGACTCATTCGTTTGGATGTGAGGTCCTGTTTGATCATGATCCTTATGCAGAATCCTCCAATGAAGAGCTCACATTCCTGCAAGCGAGTCCGTGTTTTAGACCCGCACACAAAATGAAACGGAGCTCAGTTGGCCATGGGTCAAAAGCCCGTACCCCCACTGGGCATCCAATCCCCACTAAAAGATGGTGCACCTACCCCAAAATGGCACCATTGATTTTGACCCACAGCCAATTTGCGCAAAACCGTGGTTTCTGTTGGTACCTTACCTTTGTCACCTTCCCAACCTTCCAGACCCACTCATACCGTGGATAGACGAACCCCGTTAGCACCATGAAACCATGGTTTAAGCGATTATATGTTGATATTGGAGAATCATCATTCCGGGCTTCTTAGGTTGTGCGAAATGGATTTCGTCCATCCAAAGGTAATTCTGGCTTTCCTTGCTGGCCCGAAACCGTCAGAACCCATGTCAAGGCAGAGGGACCCACAGAATGGTATCCTTGTGGTTTCCCTTGAATTCAACCTAAGGGCCCAAATACTTAGAATGGGCTTGTGGAATGTTTCAAAACCCAATCTAAGTTGTATAAACTATTTGCAAATATGTTTCGCCTCTCAAACAACATAGATATGCATGTATATACGTACATGTACATACATATATGTATATATATATATATGTGCATATATATATATAGCACCCTCCAGAACCCACACACACACACACACAAACACCCGCCCGCCCGCCCGTCCGTGCCTGCATAGCCCTCATCCCCGAAGACCTCCGGAGCTGCATGCAGCTTGGTGCTGCCGCCTCGCTGCAGCAGGGAAGCGCCCGCCTGAC